AGGGAAGCGCAGGCCTAGGTCAAAATGGGCCCGGAAGAAAGTGTAGTAACCATCGGGGGGATCGTCGTAGGTGTCATCATCACCGGGGGTGTAGTAAGTCCCGAGATGGCCAACCAAATCAAAGTCGAGACGAGTTGTGCTCGAAGATGACTTGGAAGACTTAAAGGATCGAGGCCGGGATCGCTTAGATTGTTGAGCAGGAGAGGATATGGTCGAAGCACCAGGTACACGAGAAGACAGAGGCACGAAATCTTGGGGATCACGAGCGGAAAGGGGGACATGGTCTTGAGGATCCTCTTCCTCGACCTCGTCATCTTGACCAAGGAGTCGGCGAGACGAGTCCGTGAGGGTAGAGAGGGGGTGACCAGGAATCTCCTCATCCGGTAGGTCGACGAGGTAGGCGGAGGGAGAGACAACAGTCGCAGTAGAACAACCGTCAAGATCGGAAGGTCGAATCATCGAGATAGGCTCAGGCTGGAGAACCTCCTGGACAGAATCGCTGGATAAACTGGGAGTCGCGGAAAGGGAAAGGGGGCTCATGTCCTCTCCACTGTGCCGATCATTTTCGCTCGAAGTGGCGGAATCTGGAAAAGAAGAAGAGAGAAGAAGAGAACAAAATTAAAATCAAAATTAACAAAGAGAAGAGAGGCAAAAGAAGGAAGAGCGAGGCATGGCACAGTGGAAAGGTAAAATAGAAAGATGAAGCGCGAGGAGGAACGAACGAGAAGAGAACGAACGGGAGGATGAAATTCAAAATCCAGTAAAAATATGTCGAGAAAAGAACTCAGAAAACTTACTCATGACAAATGACGCTATGTTTCTTGGAAGTAGGAGATTCGGAAATTGTTGGAGAGCTTGAAGTTACAGGATGCTCGATAAATTACAGATATCTCAGAGTGCGAAAGTAGGGAAGGGGAAGAATCCTGTCAAAGGGTCGGTATTTATACTGGAGAAATTAGGAGCGGCGCATTCTCGACCGTCTGATTAGGATATATTAACGGCCACGATAAAGAGGGAACCGAACGGACGCGGGAGCAACAGCCGTAGGATTAAAGTGGTAATCTAACGGCGGAAAAAGGAGAGACGTGGGGGGCAGGAGCGAAATTCGAGGAAGCGCGAATCACGGGCCATCATGACCTCTGACAGGTGAAAAGACGTACCCAAGAAAGCGGATAAGCGGCAAAATTCAAAATTTGAAAAATACACGAAGTCGGTTGCCGGAGGGAAATGGTCGATGCAATGAGGGAATTTTATCGGATAGTCGAGGACAGCAGGACGAGATTCGTTGACGCAAGAGACTACTCTTAGATCGAGTCATTTAGACTCGACCAGAGTGGGGGGACTAGATGATATGGGATATTGTATGCTAAACCGGTTCGCAAGACAATCCAAGCAGAATGGCACATGGGTGTGGTCGAGCAGTACCAACATGCCCACAGAAACCCTAGCACCTGGTCGAGCAAGGATACGCCAACGAATACGGGCACGGGACCAGTCACCTCTTGTTTCCGGAGCAGTTACGCGTGCGGACGCATTGACAGACCTGGTCGACAGCCAGAATATGCTAAAGGATCTCCGTCACGTGAAAGGGGGACACGCGGCGCTTTGTGAGTGGGCCAAGGAATAACGAACTCTGACATTCTCTGACGCGGCTGACGCGTTTTCTGACACGAGAGAAAGTGGAGACGCGCGGCCGTACGGACGAGCAGAGGAGGAACGACGAGACTCGCCTAGTCGCGCGTGGCCAACAGGTAGCTCGTCCCTATAAATAGGGACGAAGATTATCGCTTTTAGTGAACTTCTGATTTATTCATACTCTCATATACATATTTCATCCCTCAAGATCTGACTTGAGCGTTGGAGGCTCTTCACCGGAAAATATCTCCGGTGTGGGAGTTCTTTGCAGGTCGGGCGTTCTACCGGCGAAGAGGGCGAGCTTGTGGTGTTTCCTGGCCGGTCGAGTGTTAGACTTGCATTAATAGGTTTATGATTTTCTTTCATCCATGATATGCACATCTAACATGCAATTAGAAGATTTTATTAAAAAAAATAAAAAATAAAATAAAAAATTAAAAAATCTCCGAAATCTCCGAAATCTCCAAAATCTTCGATTCGTACCAAACCGACCCATTAGAATCGAATCTCCGAACCGAACCGAACCGAAATTCGGTTCGATTCGGTCCGGAGATTCATTAGAACCGGTTCGATTCTGGAGTTCCAGTTTTATAAATCTCCGAATTTCGGTTCGGTTCTGGAGTTTTTTGGATCTCCGAACCGAACCGACCCGTGCTCAGCCCTAGTCTCATCACATACTATTACTCTGTTGACTCATTGAAAGAGTATTTATAAAGTTACGGTATATTATGTCGCAATTTGTAATCATTAAATCATAATGCAACCATCACATACTATTACTCTGTTGACTCATTGAAAGAGTATTTATAAAGTTACGGTATTAGATAGTTAATCTAACGGTTACAAACTTACAAACTCTGAAGACTACCGGGCTATAGCATCATCATCGGATACAAGGCAGCGAGCTTCAGCAGTAATCACACTTTCCAAAATCCTCAACTTATGACAGCATCTGGAAATGGCAATGTCCACGAGCATGGCCACCGTCCATCGATGGGCGATTCACCCGAGAGGATTTGGATTAGCTTCCCATTGCCTTCAAGCATCCAAATCCGCAAAGGCGATAAATTTAAGCAGGTCAATTTGTTGCAGGACAAAGGTGTCGAAATCCACTTCTAATACAGACACAGTCGTCGCCGCCGACGACAATTACGGCCGTAAGGAAGTCATTAGCGTCAATCCCAGGCTCTATGACTACTTGTTGGCGAACGTTAGAGAACCAGAGGTTTTCAGTCTCCAAACCCTAATTTATCATTCTTTTGATCTTGTCATTGTGTTGGGTGCTGAAGTCTTGGGGTCCATGTTTGTTGAGATGTTTCTGCTTCTTATTTTTATGAACTTCAGATATTGCGGGAGCTTAGGGAGGAAACTGCTAAAATTCAGGGTAGTCAGATGCAGGTAAGTTTATCTGTGCTTTCGTAAGTACTGCTAGGTTTGTGAATTTTGTTCTCCCGTTAAGACTCTTATTTTATCTCAGCTGAACTTTGGGTGATCTAAAAATTTCGTAAGTACTGCTAGCATCATTTATGAGTATGCAAGTATGCAGTTCTATTTTAAAAGTATGACTGTCGGCCCGCCTAACCGTTAGGCTGCCTCATTCTTAGAATTTGTATAATGCAAGAAGTTATTCTGTGCTGAAGCTTGGTGTGTATTTATCGGGCCAAGGTATCACCGGATCAAGCGCAGCTTCTTGCAATGCTCGTTGAGATTCTTGGAGCAGAAAGGTGTATAGAAGTTGGAGTATACACTGTATGCATCCTGCACCTCGTTTTTCATTCTTTTGTACAGTAAATTGTTTTGATCTAAATTTTCGTACGACTTCATTGTATATTTAACTTTATAATTGCGTATGAGTTTATATGACAGCCGTCCAACTGTTTAATCAAGCTTGTTTCAATCTAAGATGTTAGTTCCTGACCAACTTTTAACATACCAGCTCTTTGGGTCGTTGTTCGATATAAAAGTCCTTAATACTCATAAAGTTGCTCATTACTTCTGGGAAGCTTCACATTCTTTATTTATTTAATTATTTATTTATTTTTCATGAGCATAGAGGTCTCTTACGTATCTTTTTGCTGTTCTACGAAAATTGGATATCAGCCACCCACAGTTGTTCATTTGATAAATTAAGAAGTTTCTGTGTGATGTCTCTACCATTGTTATTATTTTCTGTAGGGGTACTCATCTCTTGCGGTTGCTTTGGTCCTGCCAGAAGGAGGTCAGCTAGTAGCATGTGAGAGGGACGAGAGGTCATTAGAAGTTGCACAAAGATACTATGACCGTGCAGGTGTTTCAAATAAGGTATGATTTCTATTCAGCAAGACCTTTTAATGTTAATGATACTCTTTGGATACCAATTGTGTATGATCTATTTATTGGGACTTAGGTGAAAGTAAAACATGGGTTAGCTGCTGACACGTTGAAGTTGATGGTCCAGAATGGTGAAGGCAGCAGGTCCGTTGATGACTTAAATTGATCGTATTTGGTACACATTTCTTTGTTTCTGATTCACAAACTACTCAAATGCAGTTATTTTTTATTTTTTATTTTTTTTTTTCTGGGACTACTATTATGCAATTATCTTAACAGTAGAATAACCATATCTTAACATTCATCTTTGTAGCTATGATTTTGCCTTTGTGGATGCAGACAAGAGAATGTACCAAGATTATTTTGAATTGCTCTTGCAGTTGGTTAGTAATAGATGAATCAGGAATTTAAGATAATAAAGATCAATATATGTGTAAAAAGTATTATTCATTGTTCAGTTGTACAGGTGAGAGTTGGAGGCCTTATAGTGATTGACAATGTTCTTTGGCATGGGCGGGTGGCAGATCCACTGGTCAAATACACTTAAACTTTTCCAAGAATCAATGCAACAGTTATTATTATTTTGCTTAAAGCAGTGTTCTGGGCCCCCGCAGGTAAATGACGCCAAGACGCTTAGTATCAGAAACTTCAACAGAAAATTGATGAAGGATGACCGCGTGTCCGTTAGCATGGTATGTGTTTGAGGGATTTCTGTTTTCATCCCAAATTCTCGAAAATTATTTTTTATCTTTGATAAAAATCAAATGTAGGTTCCAATTGGGGATGGCATGACAATTTGTCGGAAGAGATAGCCTTTCAAGGCTTGCTATCTAGGGGAATTTTGGGAGAGGTTTGTGTTCAAGTTGAAAGGTTACCATCCCCACATAGGGTCGATGAACTACAAGAGCGAGATATATGTTGGTTATTTTGTATGAAGGCTTTGAACTCAGTCGTATTCAGATCTTTGGAGTTGAGAATCTGAAAGTGTTCAGATTGTCGAACTACTGCACCAAGGAAGGACTTTGTATGTATTCAATAAGTAGAAGTTCAAATGGAAATTGGTTGGCAACTAAAGGGTTATACTTCTGAAACTCATTTGTACTTGGGTCAACTGAAAGTCCCCAGCATCAGTATTTTTGCTGAAAAGAAACTTCAGGGTATATTGTTGAAACTATCCTTCAAATTGTTACAGAAAACCCTAATCTTTAAAAAACTTACAAAAATACACCTGTTGGCATTGGCTTCTAAATTTGCAGCACAAGAATTGACAGTTTTTATTTGTCAGAAAAATACTTGTCTTGTAATGTTTGAAACATTATCAGGGGATATATGTGATCTGACAAACATAGTTTTTTATGAATAGCTAAAGATGGATATTTGAAGATATCCCTTGAAAAGCAAAGTTTTCTTAGATTTGTTAAAGTTTTATACGATCTTTGACCGAAAAATTGGAAGTCTTATCGTCGGAATTATTTTCGTGAAACTCGGATATGTTGTCGGCACGGAAGAAAGCTACAAGATCATATAAAAATTTTTAATATCCAACGAAGTTGGCCGGCGGTGGGTGGCGGTTGGCGGAGGTCCGACGGGCGAGACAAAATTGCAACATAAAAGTTTGGTATTTTTTTGCCAAATTGAAAAAGTTTAGTTTTATTTGCAATTAAACAAAAAATTGGGGTTTTTTATGCAATTAACCATTTGTACGACCTTTGATCGGAAAATTGAAAGTCTTATCGTCGGATTTTTTTTCGTGAAACTGGATATGTTGTCGGCACGGAGGAGAGCTACAAGTTCATGTAAAAATTTTCAAACCGGCGAAGTTGGCCGCCAGCGGGTGGCGGTTGGCGGCGGTCCGGCGGGCGAGATAAAATTGCAACACTCAATAAAAGTTTGATACTTTTTTGCCAAATTGAAAAAAATTAATTTTATTTGCAATTAAACAAAAGTTTTTTTATGCAATTAACCCTTTGCTAAAATGAGGGGGAGATTTAAGAATTGAAAAAGATTATGATAGTTAAAGATGGATATTTGAAGATTCCCTTGAAAAGCAAAGTTTTCTTAGATTTGTTAAAATAAGGGGAAGATTTAGGGTGTGATTGGTTATAAACTCTAAAAAAAAATTAATAATTAAATAAATCAAAACTCTAATTTTAAAACAACTTTAATCTAACTCCACTATCTTCAATATCAATATAAATTAATTAATATCAACTAATTATTCTTACATATCACGTGAATTTTAATTTATTATTTATCTATTCATATGATTTTAACTAATCATTATTTTCAATCATTTTTCTCCTATTTTTACATCAACTGAACTTTAATTATTTTATTCTAAATAATATTTTAATTTAAACTTAAATTCTCACTAACAACTAACCATATCACATTTTTTAAATTAACTATGATTAACAAAATTTAATCAAATTCATATCCAATCACGTCATTAAGAATTGAAAACAATATATATAAATGCATCGCATTGGAAGTACGAAATACAAAACTCAATGATAT